CTTGCTTCTGTTTATGTGGTATATCACACTTATTGATTTACATATGTTGGATCATTCTTACATCCCTGGAATAAAGCCTACATGGTTATGATATATGACTTTTTTGATGTTTGTTGAGTTGTATTTGCCAATATCTGTCCATTTTTAAAAGATACTACAGTTTGTTGAAGTACATTTTTTATAGTAATTACTAACAATCTCCTAGATTTTGACAGTTTCTAGGAGATGTAACAGAATGCAAAATAGATTCTGTTACAATTGTGATTTTACCTTTCCATTTCTAACTGCATTAATGTGTCATTTTTTCCTTTTGGTAAGTTTAGTTAAGGATTTATTTCATTTACTCTTTCAAAGAAGCAGCTCTTATATATTCTCCTAGTATTAGAAACTTTAAAAAGTATATTTCCATTTTCTGTTGACTTAAAAAAAGATTATGAATAAAAAAGCAGCTCTTTTATTTATTAATGCTTTGCATTTACTTTTCATTTCTGTTTTATTAATTTCTTTTCTGATATTCATGATTTGCTTCCTTAAACTAGTTCCAGGGATTATTTCATTTCATTTCATTTTTTTTCCTTCTTTTTCTTTTTTAGCTTTTCTGAGCATTTATTACAAGATCCCAACAGTGTCTTATTTTTTCTTCTCAACATCCTTCTCTGTGGCTTCCTTGGCTCTCTTCGCTTGGATGCCAAAGAGTTGGGCATTGGTGCAGGCCATGAGCAGAATGCCTTGAAGTTCTTTCCTCCTCTGTGATGACCCTGGCTTCCCTTCTTGTAGACATTCCTGATGGGCGTCACAGGTCCTGTCGGCCTGGTGGCCCACTTGAGTTCTTCAGCAGAGCTGTCTCCCTTCTTGGGGGCCAATGGCTTCCTGGGGAAGAGGATGAGCTTGGAGCGGTGCTCTTTTAGCTGCTGCACGTTGACCTGCAGGGACTCGGTGGGTTTGTTCCACCACCTTGGGTCCACTGAAATGCCAATGGTGCAGGCCACCTTCTCATGAATCCCGGTCACCTGCAGCTCCTGCAGACTGAAGCCCCTGCCGGCTCGGCCTTGGTGTGGTATTGCACCTGGGACAGTGCACGATGCGCCAGATGGGTCCAGACGCCGGCACGGGGCCATGCAGCGCTTTTGCCTGCCGGGCCTTGCGCCTGTGGATCTTCCGAGCTGAGCTGGCAGATTGAACCACGTTGCCACACGCCGCTGCCAGTCCTTGTGCAAGAGGGGCTTCAGGAAATCGCCATTCTGGCTGGGCGCCACGACTGCCTCTTAGGCCACGGATTGGTGGAACCGAAAGGCTATTTCACTTCTTTGCTTTCTTCTATGAGTGCGTTATTTAGTGGCCAGGTGTTCATAAATTTTCTGAGTTTTTTTAATGATTGATTTACTGTTTTCATTGTGAAATGTTTTGATAGTATATATGGGGTGATTTTGATTCTTTTGAATTTATTTAAGCAGGCTTGTTGACAACTATGTAATTTATTTTGAAGAAATTTCCATTTGCCATTGAGAAGAATGTGTGTTTTGTTGTAGTAGGGTAGAACACTCTAAGTATCTATTAGGTCCATTTGTCTGAAGATATGGCTCAGTTATGATATTCATTTGGTGAGGTTTTTTTTTTTTGTTTAGTTGATATCTTTTTGTGAAAGTGGGGTATTGAGGTCATCCACTTTAATTTTTTTTCTCTTTTATGTCCAGAAATATTTGTTTTATGGAGTTAGGTACCCAATATTTAGTGTATATAGTTACAATTGTTATTTCTTTCTGTTGGATCGCTCCCTTAATATATAGTGCCAGTCTTTGATGCTTTTGATTCATTTCAGATTTAAGTTTACCTTGTCTGAGAATGATATTGCTACTTCTGCTTACTTTCAGGATCTTGCTGCGCAAAGTATTATTTTTCCTCCTTTGATTTTAAAAAATGTATTTGGTACAGGGTCTCACTATGCAGTTTGAATTCATAGTGATCCTCCTGTTTTCAGCCTTCCCAAAGCTGGGATTACAAGTGTGCACCATCACACCTGGATTCATCACATTTTTACTCTCCACGCTATTTTGTTATTAACAGTCAGGCTGTAATGTGGCAGGAAAAAGGAAAAAAGGCTAAGTCAGTAGGTGAAGAAGTACATAGGAGAAATAATGATTGCTAAAAAAAGTTAGATGGGGTCAGACTCTATTGGAGGTCTTTTAGAGGTGGAGTAAAGGATTAGTGTTGAGAGCTCTAAGAGAATACATGTGGGGTACAGTGAGATGTAGGGGGAGAAAAATGTAATTTGGGAGTGGAGAAAGCTATGGTACTATTGGACGCTGTTGATGTACTTGTGGTTAATTTTGTTTTAATTCTGTTGTGCGTTGTATCTAGTTGTGCCCCCAAAGCCTCATGCAGTCATTGGGGCGGCTTGCAGAGTTTGTGATTAATTCATGCTCCAATGCTGGGATTACGGGTGTGAGTGCTACACTCAGCTGGGGGCAGACAGCCTGCGTGCAAGTTAAGTAGAGCAGAGAGGTTTTCTCTCCAGCTCCCTTGCTGCTCTTGCTGTCACTGCTCCCCCCTGTGCTCTGTGCTGTTTTCTGCCACCATGAACGGCTGCCCTCTGCCCTGTGCTGCTCTGCCCTGGAGCCCGCTGAGTATGGACCGAAACCTCCACTGTGAGCTAAGTAAACCTTTCCTTCTTTAATTTTGGGTATTTTGTCCCAGCAACGAAAGAAAAGTAACCAAGACAGAATTAGGTACCAGGAAAGTGGGGTCATTGCTGTGACTAAATCTGACCATGTGGATTAAGAGATTTTTGGGAATGGCTTATGGGAAGAGAAAGGAAGGATTCAGAGATGTAGCTTATAAGAGAAGAACTAGAACACTTTCAGCTGTTCCGTATGGGAAATTCTGGTCAGAGCTCAGATGACCAGAATGTTGATAGAAATCCTGCCTGTAAAGAGCAGACTGGGGAGGTTCCTTCTGGGAAAAAGGATTGCATTGGTTGTTGGACAATGTGTGTTGTGGCTTGGCAGAAAGTTTGTCTGCATTTTGCTTGAGATTGTCCACAGATGTTGCCTGAGACTAAGCATGGCAGACTGGTTAATCTTGTAGAAGAAATTTTAAAGCAGCCAAATGTTGAGGAAGTGGCATGACTATTGGTGGGGGCTTTTAGTCAGATTTATGTTGAGAATCACGAGCAAAGAACCCAGCAGGATAATTTAAAATGTTGTGAGTTTGGCCAGAAAGGAAGTGCCAATAAAGCTGTGGACTGCAAAGCCGGAGCTGAGAAGATCTCCACTATTGAGAAGAAACAAGAGAATAGAAAAGATGGCCCAAGGGCATCACAAGAAGCAGCAAATCTCCACCCTTTTCAGCCTCAAAACTGAAAATGTGAGAGAGTTTGCTTTGAGGAGAAAGTCAGAGAGCACCATGTTCCAGGACAGTGGTGGTGGGAACCACACCAGGTTCCAGAATGGCGGCAGCATAGAGAATTTGTTCCTCAGAATCAGGGTCAGAGTGCTCAGCCATCCAGGCACTCGACCCTACAGCCAAGAGAGAGGAAAGCCTGCAGCCAAGAGAGGGGAAAGCCTGGCTGCTGCTCCGGCTGGCGGCAGACCTTGGCATCATCCACGTGGCGTTGGTCCCAGGCACAGGCAGAATGCAGGATTTCGGAGGTTAAGAAGTCTTCCACCTAGATTTTAGAAGAAGGCCTGGCAAGCCAGGCAGTGTGCTCCTGGGAAGGCAGTGTGTGAAGCTGTGAGAAGCCTACAGTGCAGTGGAAATCCTAGAAGTTTGGAAAAGTCAGGAACGTGGATTGTCTGAAGAAAGCTGCTAGGAGGGAGCAAAGCCAGCCCAAGCAAGAAGCCATGGGAGCTACCACTAAAAGTGCCTTAGAGACGGAGCCACACAAAATCTTTGGAGCTTACAAGTCATCACAGATTACTTTGGATATTCCACATGGAACTATGGGACTTAATGTTTGCCCTGCTAGATTTTGGACTTGCTTTAGTCCCACTGCTTTCTATCTTCCTGTTTGTACCTTTTGGAATGGTGATGTTTATTCTGTGCCAAATTAACTTCATTTGGACAGGGGCTCACAGCTAAGAGTTTGCCTTAGAAATTGGAGGAAACTCAGGGGCTTAAAAACAGCGGAGGGACTTCCCAGGCTACTGGCTGCCTGCTGCCTCAATGCCTTCCCAGCTGTGTCTCCCATCAGCATGGCACTGGGCAGGCCTGACATTCCCTAGGCACAACTCACTACCTGCAGAATAAACCCCAGCTCCACCTGGCACACAGCTGTCCTCCAGCCCTACCCTTCACCACACACTATGGAGTGCAGTATTACTGAAGAAAGCCCTGCTATGCTATACAAATGATAGAAGTAATGAGACGGGGAAATGAAACCAAGCCTAGTACAAACAGCTCGCACAACATGGTAGACTCCTAGTGAGAGCACACAGGTGCTGAGTTCTGGGAGGTGTGCTGTGTGAGCAAAGGGCTGGGGTTAGGGTGCACACAGGGTGGGGCTGGGAAGGGCTGAGTGGTTGGGAGGAGCCCTGTGGCCACTGCAGGCAAGAGGAGCTGCATCACCTGGGCTCTGGGCTGGGCTGGGTGAGCCAAGGCCACCAGGCACCACATCCATGTCCCCAAGGACTGGTCAAACAAACATAGTGGCCTTGAAGTCCTGGACTTTTCACTGTTTTTGAAATGTTCTATGTATTTCTTTTGTAATTAGGAGAAGAAAAATAGTTATTTTTAAAACCATTCACAATGTGTGATTCCTAATACTATGTTTTAGACAGTCTAATACAAAAGTAATGTGCAGCTACAAAGCAAATGACAACAAAAACGAAGCCAAAGCATTAATCCACACAGACAGTAAAGCTCTGCAAATAAAGCAGACATCCTAACTCACAAACAGATGGCTCAGCATTGCCAGAGACCTAGGGCTTGTCCGCCCGAGCCTACCCGTCACGTGTGACATCTGTGCAAAGCCAGTGTCCCTCCACTAGGTGAAGGGCACTTACTTGATCATCTGTGGCACTGTGACCTTGGAGTTTTCCTCAAATGCATTCATCATGAGCCCATTGCACCGGATGTTGTCCACACACTGGAAACAGAGGGGCACAGGATGAGGGCCTGGGCCTCCACCCCAGGTCCTGGGCCCCCAGAGGCTCTGTGACAAACAGGCTCAAGTGCCCAGCCCCACACAGGGCACTGGCGGGACTGGGGAGACATTGAAGGAGGCCAGGCTCAGCCAAACATCTGGGTGTGGGGTGGACTCGTCAGGCTCCCCGAGCCTCACTTTCTCTGGTGAAAGCCTTCTCCTAAGTGCAGAACAGGGCCCACCCAAGACTGACACCTCTGCTGCCCACCCTGAGATATGGTGAGGATACGACAAGTTCCATTGGGCCCTGGAGTGGCTCTCCTTGCCCTCGCCCAACCAGTGCCCATGCTCTCAGGCTGGTTTCCAACTACAAATCTGCACATGTTGTGCCTGGGGGTAGGGGTACAGATAGTGAGGAGCCCTGGTCCTCCCACAGAGGGAGCTCTTGGTCACCCATGTTAAGCTCTGAAGACTCTCCAAACAAAATTCAGCTTTAAATAAAAGGCACCCACCCGCCCACCCCAACAAAGGAGCCAGCACTGTTATGGGAGAAGGCTTGTTTTTCCTCCTGTGCCCCCTGCACATGGATTTCACAGTTCTACCATGAGAAGATCTCTTTTCTGCTCATGATCAGAATCATCCAGTTGTGAAGCTGTGTGACGGGGCAGGCAGGTGTCAGGGTCACAGGGAGTGGCAGCTAAGAGGCTGGCACCACGAGTGGTGGGTGCTGGATGCCTCAGACCCCAGGAGGTACCTCTCAGAGACTTCCAGATCCACCTCCCTATCAGCCGCTCTGGGACCTCCTCTAGCACCGGTTCTGCGAAAGTGGATGGATCATCTTGCCAGTCAGGTGCAAAGGCTCCTGGACCATGCTGGAGAGTGGCTAAAAGGACTGCGCCAGTGGGTTGGGCTGGCAGACCCCAGTCCTGGCGGGGGCCGTGGGCCTGGGGGCACTGTGGTCTTTGGAGGAACAATGCAGCTGCTATCCCCTGCCCCAGGTGGGGCACAATGGCACACTGCTCACCTGGCTGATGTCACTGGTCCATGCTGCTTTCTCCTGCCTGGATGAGGCCACCAGAATGACTGTGAAGGGTGGGGAATCCTTGGGCTCCACCCCGATCTTAAAATCCAAGTGGTCTATGTCTTGGCCAGATCCTTTGGCTTCCAGTTGTGAGACATGAAGTTGACAGAGTGAGTGTGGGCACTTTTGAAGCTAGACAATCTTTTGCTGGTCCCTGCCTTATCCAGGGAAGGGACCCAGGTCACCGGGTACTAGGCCACCAGCATCTGCTCCCCCAGGGTATTTTTCCTAGGTGGGGGAATCCCCATTTCAAACAGGGAAGTGGAGACCTGGGGTGAAGGAGCAGCTTTTAAGAACACAGGGGCCACCTTGGATTTGGGGCCAAAAGCTCGGATCTGCCCTCTACTCGCCCTGCTGAGTGAGGACTGAGCCCAGCAGGGTGACCACTAAGTCAGGCTAGAGCTTGCCTTGGACCTTGCTGCTGGACCATCCTACAACATAAGGGTATTGGGCAGAAAGCTCTGATGTCTGAAACTGTTATAGCTAGCTGGACGTTCAGTCCAGGATTGAGCTTTCCTACATAGGAACAAATTCCAGGTATTTTATTATTGCTCTTAACCTGAAAAGTCCCTTGAACACTGAAAGCATTTTATGAGAAAGACTGTCATAGTTTAAGGATTCTTCTAAACATGTCCTTTCCCCAATGCGGGGGACATAAAGTCATGTTCCCCAAGAAATAAAACCCTTTGCTTCCGTCTTTACCTGACCTTTATCTCAACCCTATTATCTGAGATATGCAGAGCTGGCTATATAGAGATGAATGTTCCTTAATTAGCTAAAAGAATGTGACTGAGCCTGGCTAAGGTGCCAGTGCGTCTCACCACACCAATGCGGCAGCTCTTGGGTAAGAATCCCCCACTCCATGCCCTCCCCACCCACTGATGGCTGGAATGGAGTTTCAAGCAAGAGCCTGTGAAATATCAGGGTCAGGACCTGATTTAACATCTCTGCCAAGGCCAGGAGACTCAAAAAGAAATATACCTTTCCAGCAGTAAGGGTATTGGCTTTCCAAACAAGTTATTTGTTTTACCACTAATTGGAAAGCCTCAGAACATGGTAAAGCATGTCTTTTTCCTCCTTTACAATCCATGCCTGCAAAAGTTATTCTTCCCATACTCTCTGCCCTAACTCCCATCTGCCTCCCTCACTAGTACTAATAAAAACTGTGGGCCCTCTGACTCTTGCTCCTTAGGTCCACTGAGAGCAATTGGCCATCCCAGAGCCTTTTGAAAATCCAGGAGTGGACTGGGGCTCTGAGTCCCTGTCCCTTCTAGCTGTGACACTCAGGAAGTTTAGGATTCCCTGCTGGGCACAGGGAAGTGAGTTCTGGCTGACTTGGGGGTCAAGTTGTTTTGCTAAGAAGTGGAGTGCTCGTGGTGTGGGTTTTGGTGGGATTTCAGGGCATGCTCCCACTCCCTGGATCCAAGAATAGAGCTTTGGGGTCTGACAGTGCCACCCAAGTCTGGGCTTTCCCAAGGTTCAGCTGTAGTCAAGGCCAGAGAGCATCAGGCTGGTGAGAGGTATCCAGCTAAGTCGTGGAGCATATCTATCCTTCCTTGGGGAGCCCTGGGCTCAGCCTCAGGGGTGCTGAGCTACAGTGCTTTGACTCCCATGTCCAAGACTGGGCTTTGCTGGGTCTGGGGTGCCAAGGAGGTGTGGGTCTGGGCCCTCCCCAAGAGCTCAGCTGGGCCAGGGTTGCAGGACCTGTTGGGATTGCCCAACAGGTGGGTGTCTCTGAGCCTTGGCAGAGGCCATAATGAAGGGAGATGCAGGCTACCTCAGGCCCAGGTAGGAAAGTACTGATTCTACCTCCTCACCACACAAGGACCCAAGTCACTTCTGGTTTCTGGGGGAAGTCCCAAGAACACGCAGATCACAGTGGTCCTTTCACCCTCACTTCTCCTCTCCCCAGATTCTGTCTCCCCTCCTGGCCATGCCACTCCCACTGAGGGGGGCATCTCCTCTCTCTGAACCTCAGGCCTGTGCCCCTCTATTAGTGGCACTCATTTCCCTGCTGCAGTTTGAGTTTAGGCTCTAAGGTTCCTTAATTAGGAGCTTAATGTCCAAGGCAACACAGGTGAGGACCTTTAAGAGGATGTGTGCATTATTCTGGGAGTGGACTCATTACAGAGGAAGGGAATGGGTTCCTACAATGACAAGTTCCATCCCCTTCTCTCTCTCCCATTCCTCCCTCACCACACAATGTTTTCTGCCAATCTATGACACAGCAAGGAGGCCTTCACCAAAGGGGAGTCTTCATCTTGGACTTCCCAGCCTCTAGAAGAACCATGAGCCAAACAGACTCAGCACCAGGCCAAGACACCCCATCCCATCTTTCCCATGTGGGCAGAGCTGGGGCCCCACGTACACACGGGTGAGAGGTACCCTAAGAACATACAGCCCCCAATCCAGTGGAAGCCGTCCACCCTAGTAGGATGAAACAACCTAAGGGGGTCCATGACTTCCCCCTGCTAGCTATGCTACATCTGCTTTTGTCCCAGCCAAGGCCAAAGTTGGACAGACCTTTCTGGGGATGTCCTGCACACTGACCTTCCTCCTCTGAGCTTTCCGGGTCCTCCAACAAAGTGCAGTCGATGAGGGATATGACTCCATTCTGAAAGAGAGCAGCAGACACACCCTGGATCAGGGCCAAGTTCCTTCAGGAGTCCCAAAAGTCAGGATTGGGAGGCCCTTGACAGAGGGTATCTGAGCATGTGTGTATGTGTGTGTGTGTAACTTGCCAAGTGATCTTATATCTTGCAAGACCAGGACTTGGTCTTCACATCAAGCCCAACGACAAGGGTAGAAGAAGACTGCCTTGAGGGGCCTCCCTGGATAGAGGGCGAGGTTGAGCTGTGCCATGTGACCTCCATCTGGCCCCATGCCTCTTTGGACCCCACCTCAGAGTCCCAGGTCCACAGAATCTGGGAATCTGTTCTAGGCCAAACCCCTCATGTTACCAACAAGGAGCTGGGCCAAAGTGAAGAATCATTTATATTATTGTGACTCTCATTTTGCAGTCAAAGAAATGAACTCAGAATGTGTGATGCCTCACCCAAGTTACCTGGCCAGCTTCTAGAGGTGTCTGGAGAGCAGAGGGCTGAGTCCTGCCAGGTATGCTACTCATTTCCATCATCGGAGCACCAGCAAAGTGCTTCCTGCCCGAGTGTGTGGGCACGTGAGGTGAGAGGCCCCTGGACACCGTGCTGAGGAAGAGAGCCTGCAGTGCTCTGAGCCACACCTGCAGACTCGCTGACCCTCCTCCCCTGCTAGCTGAAGCCGAATTCCCCTCCTCTTGGGCTGGGCTGGGCTCAGGGACTGGTGTCTGACAGAAGAGTGAGGGGGAAGTAACAGCATGCGAATCTGGAAGTGCAGCCTGCTGCCTGCACTCTGGCCAGCTCTGGAGGTGCGTGTTGTGAGGAAAACCAACTGCCATGCTGTGTGGAGAGGTGTACAGATGAGCAGCTGAGGCTCCAGTCAGTGGCCCTGCGAGTTGCCATCTTGGAAAATGCCCGCATCCAGCCACAGCTTCAGAGCACTGTGGCCCCAGCTCGGATCTTGCCATAAACTCCTGGTGGCCCACAGAAACAGGAAGGCAGAGAGTGTAAGCTCTTGCTGTCTCAAGAGGACATCACAGGTTGGTCATGTGGCTCATCTGCCATCCTGATGGGCTCCGAAGGCCAAGTTCTCATCCCTTCATGGCTCTCAGGACTTACGGGCCTAACCAGTGTTACTGGCTTCCTTGTCCTGGGAGCCTCATTAACTCTGATTTCTTTCTTAAGGTCCTGACAACAACTCTCACGGTAGTGTTAGGTCTGGCAGCTTGGTAGCCTTCTCCTTTCCTGACTTCAACTTTGGCTCCATGGGAGGATTGAAACAGCAATTAAGAACACAATCTGGAGCCAGACTGCCTGGGTTCAAGCCCCAGCTCAGCCACTGACTGCCTCCTGTCTAACTGTGTGTATCTGTCAAATGGGAAGTGGGCAGTGCTACTCAGTTGCCTGCTGCGGGAATTCAAAGCACTCATCTCTACTTGAAGGAGTGTGTGGCTGTTACACAAAAGCTACTGGCATGCCAGAAGCTCACTATCACGTGCAAGTAAGCTCACTATCATTATGTCACTGAGTGCTCACTGTGTTCCAGCATTGCTGGGAAGAAGGTAAGGAAACTTCCTTAGCACGCAAGTAAACTGAGACTTGGGCAGCCATGTGAGTTGTCTGGGGTCTTGCTGTGAGTTTATACAAGGCCCTTCTTCTGCATTCTTTGCCAGTATGCTAACCTTTTAGAACTCATAAAAGGGGAAAATCTCCAAATAGAATGCAATAAAACTAACAACGTAAAACTGTGCTTTCTGACTCAGCAAGAAGCTGTATGATGTCGCCTATGGAATCTGTCTTGCTGTTCCCCAGCTATTGGTGGGCCCAGTGGGTCTTCAGAACCCAAAGATTTCCTTGGTACATGATTTGTTGGAACTAGAGTACTCAATGTTTTAAAATTAAATTTTCTGGTGCAGACAGTGAACTAATTTGTTAACATGTTAACATAAGCAGGCTATGTCTCAAGGGGCTGCTTGATCTCTTAGGGCAACAGGAGGTTACGGCCAGACACTGTGGGCTAGGAGAATGGTTTCCCTGATGCTGTGACTTAATCGCTGTCCTCCTAGCCCTTCCTGACTACACTGTGCTTAGATGTGAGCCCAGCCTGCTTCTGTGGGGACCACACGCTGGCAGACGGGGACCTGGACAGAGGCTTCCCAGGGACAGTGGCTCCATCACCCTTGCTCAACAGATGGTATGTCAATAGGGACAGAAGTGGGGCCAGGTTCTGAATTCAGAGCAGCGTGATGCACAGAGCTGTGTGGAGAGCAGGGGGCTCTGCCTGGGCTGTGCTAGAAGCCTTCACAGAGGAGGAAGGGAAGGGGCGGGGGAATGGAGGTCACATCTCAGGATGCACTGCTGGGCAAAGCCCCGTGGCCGCGAGAGTACAGGGTCTGCGTGCTTCTGCCCCTCATGCCCTGGGATGGCCGGGCAAATGCTGAGGTCCTGAGATCCTGAGCAGCTGTGGGCAGGCTCTGCAGTGTGGCTACCTTAGCCCAGGGCAGCTCCTGCACATGTAAACAGACACACTGTACCTATACACATGTACATACATCTATGCACATATGTTAACATGTACTCATATGTACACACATATCTACACACATACATCTACACATGCACACTTGTATATATACACAAGTAGTCACACAAACCCATACATACACATATCTACATATAACACACATCTACAATATGCATGTGCACATGGAGCTGCATACATATACATTTACATAAACACATGCATACACAAATCTACACAGTGCACGCACATAAGAACATACCCACACAAACATGCACGTACATCTACACACACTATACACACATTTACGCACACATGTACCATACACATGGACCTGTTAAGGGTCTCTCCACACCCCACTCACCCGTCCAGGTGTCCAGGTGCAGTGTGGCCTTGGGGGCTCTAAGATGTGCCTTCCCCTTTCCCACGATTCCTCCAAGGGGTTTGGGACACCTGCTGTGCCCATTCCAGTGAAACCAGGGTGTGTGTGTGTATGTGTGTGTGTGCACGCACACATGTGCACACATCTCTCACACCCTGGCTGCTGTCTGTGTGACCCGAGCACCTCCGTCTGGCCCCTACCTTGGTCAGGTGCAGCTTCCCCCCAGAACCACGGGTGCAGATGATGAGGTGCTTGGAGAACAGGAAGCACTGACGCTCGCCCTCTTTCCTCAAGGACAGTGAGCCCAGGCGGCCCCTGGTGATTTTGCCCTTCTCTGACATGGGCACCTGGATGAGGGAACCTGCAGTGGAGAAGAGACCTGAGCTCGCTACCAGGGTGGCAAGTGGCCTCTGGCGGCTTTGGCTGAAGGCGGCACCAGGGGCCCATGGGACAAACAAACCCAAGTCCTCACGAAAATGTCCAGGGACCCCCTTCCAGCCCTCCTCTGGGTATGGAGGGGCCACAAGGCACCACCTGGTGGGGAGCATAGTGGTGGTAGTAGTGGTGCTGAACAGGTGGGAGTGAGGATGGCGTGGTCAGGTGCACCCCAGGTCCCCACATCCACAGAGACGTGGCTAGTCAACCTTGCCTGCATTGCAGAGTCCAGCCTAGACCATGGCTGGGGCACTAGACTTACTCCAGTCCCCACCTGACGGGGCTCTGGCCCCCTTCTCCACTGTACTTAGGACCCATGAGCTCCATCCTGGCTGAGGCTGCTCCTTCACCTCTCACCACCATCTTGAAAGCCCTTCCTCACTCCCCAGTGCAAATCTACTTCTCTTTCCCTTTAGAAAGAGAAGAGAGACCTTCAGACTCTGGCTTGCTCTGGCCACCTGGCCCACTGCTTCTGGGATGTACCTCTCTGTGGCCTTCCTGCTTCCTGGGTCTCCCCAACACAGGCTTGTTGTGGGTGGCTCCATTCTCCAGGCAACTCCAGAGCCTGGCTCAGAAAAGGTAGGTGTGGGAAAGGGCTGGCTAGCAGCACCTGTCCTGTCTACAAGCTGGCCTGGCCTGCTGCAGGGAACAGAGGCTACTCCTGATGACTATGGACAGGTGCCCACTTGGGTTCCTGCAGAGGTCCCAGATGCCATGGAGGGCACCTAGTGCTGGGTGCTGGGGGATGGGTGGGCTGGCCCTGGGCCAGCACATCACAGGGTGGTTGAGGAAGGCAGTGGGCTACTCTTGCCAGTTTCTTATGGACACAGTATGAGGGCCATGTGGACAGGACTTGGAGGCCCACTCAGGAGGCATCCACCACCCTAGTCACCTGGAAGGTGAAAAGGTGAACAAGTGACCTTCAGAAGCATCAAGGTGAACATCAGACCTTATGCCTTGGAGAGCTCTACAGGGCTAACCCTGGTGTCCCCCTCCTTGGGACCTCCAAATGCCTGTGACTTACAGGGTCAGCACTGTCTGTACTCATCCTCTGCTCTTTTTCACAAAAGGAAGTGTCAGTGTTTACAACAAGAGAGCCAAGATCATCTGGGTAAGATGATGTTTGCACGTGGAGAAAAGAAAATTGGAAAGCAGTAGCATCTGCATCTCTGCGCACAAACTCGGTATCTGCAGACCCACCACAGCCTACCAGCCGCACAGCACGTGCCAATGTTACTCAGCCAGGCCAGCGGGCTGTGTCCCTGAGGGCTGTGCCCCTCCGCAGCATGTGCACTCAGCACACCTTGTCTAACGAAGGTCTGGCTGGTGTCCAGGAGGATCTCACAGCCTTCGATGATCATGCGCTCGATGGCCAGGTTCTTCCGGATGTTCTCTGTCTCACTGACCTCATCGTGCATTACCCTGTGGGAACAGGAAAGAGTACAGCCATTGGCAGGCTGCACTGCCACCAGGGAGGAGGGTGCTGGCCTCCATTCGAAGGCTGGACATGGTCTCCAGGGTCTCTGTTCAGGCCGGGAGGGTGCGAGTGTGGAGGGGTGGCCCTGTGCCTGCATAGCCACGGCGTGTCACCGTCCCACAGGAGCTGTCATTCTCTCTCCAGAGAAGAAACGCTGGGGAGGCCTGGCTGTCACTGTAACACTACCTGGGCCCCGGAAAGGCTTACGTTTCTGGAGCACCTAGAACCCAGTGGACTGTGTGAATGACTGGCCTCAGCCTGAGACTTCTAGGGATTCTTGTCCTGGGGCATAGGGTGGAACCCCTCTTTGCTTGGGTTCTGACTCCTGCAACACCCCAACTTTCCAGGAGAGGGTGACATTTAATTACTTCTTAGGAACAGCTTTGGTAGGAAAAGGCGGGTTGTAGCTGCCATTTTTGCCTCAATGTTTTTTTTTTTTTAATTTATTTTTTTTTTAATTTTTCAACAAATAATACACTGCATATATTCTTCTTAGAGGTTAATTGCTGTACAAGATGCGGACTTGTGATCCTATTTAACCTCAATGGTTTTTGAGGATTCTTAGGATAGACATGAATCACTCTGAGGGCAGGGTTAAGAGGGGCCTCTGGAAAAGCATGCCACCTCCTCCAAGAAGAGCATGAGCTGATTGGCCTTCAGAGGCCTGAACGCTTACAGTGAGGTCACCTAGAGGGAAGGCTACCAGGGAAGGGTACACGCTCTCCGGCTGCGGCCTCATGGCAGGAAAGCGGACCCTGCTGCACTGGGTCTGCGCCAAGCCAGCCCACTCGGCAAGGAGCAGATGGCTGGCGTGCTGGGAGCCACCTCCTCCCCTGCAGGACTCTGGGTGGAAGCTGGAGCAGCGCAGGCCGAGCTCCACACCTGCCCACGTGGGGGCTGGGCGGCTACAGTCACTGCATCATTAGCACTGGGGCAAAAATGCACCCTTTTTTCTGCTTTAGGGATTGCATTTCAGGCTTAAACTGACTAGGCTGTTTAGGTATTATGCAGACCAGGACACCTACTTGGGGCCTCTTCTACAGAAGCCTCAGCTTTCCCTTTCTTCCCCATTAACACTACCCTGGGAAGCCAGGCCATTTTGGCACAGGATGGCTCCTTGGAAATGGACTCCCAGCTGGAGGGAGCCATGGGGCCGAGAACTGCTTCTCTCTCCTAGGCTGGGGTTTTCCTGAGGAAGCTCAGTTTGGGCACAAGGGGTGACCTCAGAGTAGCACAGTGGGTCTCTGGAGTGAAGCACAATCTGTTGTCGGCGTCAGCTGGGAACAGTGTTGGAGACCCATCTGTGCGCACAGCTAGGGGGCTCAGGAAAGCTCCTCGGACTCCGAGCGATGGTGTTGGTGATCAGCAAGCGCAGGACGAGGTCCAGGCCCCGAGAGAGGGTGGCTGCTTTATCTATAGCCCTTCTCCGCTCACTGCCCCGCAGAAGGAAGAGGAAGAGACTGTGGTCATGGTGCCAGCAAAAGCCTCCTCCAGGCCTCTAGGGCTGAGCTCAGTGCTGCTGGGTGTGGGAGAGACAGCAGGCTCCCTGTGCAGATCCTGGGGGAGAGGTCAGGGTCTGGACCATGGGCTTGGGGTCCCAGCTTTCTCCCTAGGGAGGAGTAAGCAGGGCTTGGCCCTGGGCTTGACAGGATTCAGCTTTTTCCTTCCATGAATGGCCTTGCCACTGCTCACACTCACATGGATGACACTGAATCCACCCCAGATATGACACTCTGCTGATTTGTGAAAGGATTGGGCAGCTTGTGCCATGCCTGCTCAGGCCTCATCCAGCCTCTGCCCAAGGGAGTCCAGACCTCGTCCCTGCTCAACCCAGAAAGCTTTTCAGGGCACTATTGGGCCTGCAGCCCTGCAGTCCGGCATCTCTGATGGCTCTGGCAGCATCTGACCAGAAGCCCCTCTTGGCCTGCCTCTGTGAGGTAGAGACCCCAAGCAGGCCGCCTGGGTGGTAAAGCCACAGGTACTTTAAGGGACTCAACTTCTCCATCTAGACTCGCTCCCTTGGTGATGTATCTAGTACATGGGCTGAGGAATGGCTCTGTCTCTGTCTTGGACATCCATCTGGGCCTCAAGCTCAACTCTGCAGTGAGTCCTTGCCCCTCCAAACCTACCTGGGTCAGTGGCAGCTCCAGCCTCTGGTCACCATTCAGAAGCCTTGTTCTCAACTACACCTGATCTAAAGAAAACCCCATGGACTCTTCCTTCAAGCTGCACCCAGAATCTGGATGTCATCCACCTCCCTGGGCCTAGTCTATCCTCAGAGAGGAAGTCTGGACTCAGGGGCTAAGAGAGGACCAGGTAAAGGCATGGCTGAAGGCCAGGGACCTCTAGATGGGGTCAAGTCAGGAGCACCTGCTCCTTGCTGTCTGCTGTGGATGGAAACCTTAGGCCAGAGTCCCTGCCTGAGCTCCAGACATAGAAGAGCAGAAGAACTCAGAGCCCTGAGTGGCTCCTACCCTGAAGAAGTATAACATGGATGCCTGGGCCTCGTGGGACCCATGCTGTGCCAGGGCCTCACAGGACTGCCTCTCAAGGGGGAGGCCATGTCCCTAAGCCTGAGCTGTGGCCCTTCTACCTGCTCCAGGGGGCCCTCCCTGGACAGCCTCTCCCCAGGTCCCCTGAGCCCCCCTCACCTGGACAGCTCTTCTAGTTTAGACTTGGCGTAGTCCAGGCTGTTGCGCTCCACGTGCTCGTGGGGTGTGTGGGCCAGCAGCTCATGCAGTGTCAGGATGTACCTGGGAATCTGTGGAGTGACAGATGGACTTGGGGTGAGGCCGCAGACAAGGAGGCATGAGACGGGGAGAGGCGGGGCACAGGCTACAGCAGCACTGTGAAGGCAAGTGGAGGGGCAGTGGAGACCACAAAGACTCCTGAGCCTGGGGCAGGGACCCTGCCTGTGCACCCACAGTGCCCCTCAGGCAGCACTGCCCAGGGTGGTTGGCACGCTGCTGTGTCACCACCCCAGCCCAGCCCCACAGCCGCACACCTGGAACATGGGGTAGGTGAGGAAGGTCTCCAGGGTACGCTCCTCACAGTCAGGCTTGGCTTCGTAGTGCTTCAGCAGCTTGTCGAAGTCTCGGTTCTGCTTGCAGTGGGCCAGGATCTGGAGGCTGTACTGGTGGTTCCGCACAAACTCCTGGTAGATGTTAAGCATGGGCAGCAGGATGTCGAAGAGGTCCGCTGCAAGGAAGAGGGGTCGTGTGATGGGGCCCCACAGGCCTGTGGCAGCCACACCCAGGAGGTGGGCAGGTCCAGATCCAGAGACCCTTCCCACAGCACACTGGGACTGGAGGGGAGAGAGACACCCACTGTGGAGCGTGGCCCAGGCCCCAGAAGCCCAGCCTGGGCCCAGGGCATTTCTGCAAGGTGGCACGGCTTGCCTTCCCTGCCCCTGCTCTGGCTCTTGGGCCTGCTCTCCCAAAGCACCTCTTACTGCAGAAATGGGGCACAAGCTATGGCAGCAGCTGGCTCTGAGGGGGTCTTCGGAGCCCCCACCCCCATTCCATGACTCCCTGCCCTTCAGAGCTCTAGTCCGTCTGCCCTCATCCTGAGTGTCGATATCATACCCCCAAATTCCAAGCAGTCTCCCCAAACCTGCTCCACAGCATTTCACAGGATGGGGTGAAACCTCTTGCTAGGAACCCCATTTAAAATCTGGAAGAGGGGGGCCGGGGAGATGGCTCAGTGGATTAAACGCTTCCCTGGCAAGTGCAAAGGCCTGAGTTCAATCCCTGGTTCCGCCAAAAAAAAAAAAAAAAAAAAAAAGAAAAAGAAAATCTGGAAGAAATTATGCTCCCTGCACCAACCAAGGGGCAACCTTAGGGTTCAGATTGAGCTGCAGCCCAAAGCCTGGAGTCTTCAGGGGGCCAGAAGTGCCTGTTTTATTTTGATTCTGAGGAAAACTGTGAGAAGCACAGATAGCGGCCCCAGGGGCCTATGTACCCAGCCCAGGTGGCTGCTTCTGGGTTGTGTTATGGAGGCGACATAGACTCCCCCTTCACCCACCACGTGGAGGAAGGAGGAAGTGGTGCCTGCAGGAGGTGTGGGTGAGTTTCAGGGTACCTATCGTCCGCCCTCCTGGTGCCCGGTGCGGCAGCTCTGGGGACAGCAGCGGACAACAGGGAGAAGCAGAGCCTTTTATGTGCTCACGCATCTTGCTTCTGGAAATCTGCTTTGAAACTTATCCCAGAACAGCCTCTAAAAGGGAGACTGCTCTGTAGGCAGAGGTGGTCGTGTCTGAGGGCAGCCCCTGCCAACGCTCTGAGGTCAACAGTGCGAGCCCCCGCTGGGATGGCAGCACCATCTGGGGCCTGGGCACTGCACAACTAGTCCACACTTCCAGCATGAGAAAGCACCGATTTAAGTAAAAAACAAAGCAAAACACAAAGCAGAACAACATATAAAGATTCAAACCCTGTAATGTAGCATGTTTGCAATCATGTAAAATGGGGGGAGCTCAAGATCGGCGCAAGGTAAACACTGGAGTTAAATACACAGCTTTTAGGAGTATATCTGGGAACCAGAATGATGGATATTTTAAAACTTTTCTACTTTGCTGGGATTTCAAATGTTCTCAAGTGGGTATGTATATATCCTTTCCAAAGGGAAAGTAGGAAAAAATTAAAACTGCCTCAGTCCTAAAATGGTTTTTCCCAGCTTGTCTTCCCTCCCTGCATCCTGGGGGTTCTGGGGGCTGAGGTCATCACTTGTGGCTGGCTTGCAAGCACAGCATGTCTTTGTCTTTCAGGGTGACCCTCAGCAGGACTCTGGACAGCACAAACGTACTCACCCAGGACCAGCGTGGGCCAGCTGGAGATGCGGGCCTTCAGTCCCTGGTAGAAGATCTGGTGCAGAAACATGATGGTTTCACTGCAAGAGAGAGCAGAAGCCGGGCTCCAGCCGAGGTCGTGCTGCCCTCCTCAAGTGGATCCCGCCGCTGCACCTTCTGTGGGTTCTGCAGCAGCAATATCTGCCCTCTGTGAGATCGCTCTTCCTTCCTTCTTTCCTCCTTTCCTTCCTTCCTTTCTTCTTTCCTTCCATCCTCCCTCCCTCCCTCTCTTCTTTTCTTCCATCCTTTCTTCCTTCTTTCCCTTCTCCCTTTATTCCTTCTTTCCTTCCTCCTTTCCCTTCTTCCTTCCTTCCCTCCCTCCCTCCCTATTTACTTTCTCCCTCCCTCCCCCTCTTTTCTTCCATCCTTTCTTCCTTCCTTTCTTTCTTTCCTTCCTTCACTTCTTTCTTTCTTTCCCTTCTTCCTTTATTCCTTCCTTCCTTCCTCCTTGCTCTTCTTCCTTCCCTCCCTCCATCCCTCTCTCCTTCCTCACTCCTTCCTTCCTTCCTTCCTTCCTTCCTTCCTTCCTTCCAATCCCTTCTTTCCCTCTTCGCAATACTGAAGACTGAACCCAGGGCCTTGTATGGGGCCACATCCCCAGCCTGAAAGGGTCTGACTAAGTTGCTACATTGCCCAGGCTGGACTCAAATTTGCCATTCTCCTGCTTCAGCTGCCCACAGTGTGAGGCCACCCCTGTTGCAGGCCTTCTATACAGGGTCCATTAGTAGGATGAAGACATAGCATGAGAGCGTAGGGCAGGGACAGGTGTGAGTGCAGCCCCCGTGATGCCTCAGCCTTGCAGGGTAGGGGTGGTGGGGCCGCAGCAGCAGATCAGCTGCAGGAGGCCCAGGGTCTGCACCATGAGGCTACTGGGCCAGGAGCCACTCTGGTTTGTGTCCCACTGTGTGCCCTGAGCCCCCACTTGCTGGTCCCCAAGATATGTGGATGACCCTGGGGTCTGAAGAGCATGAGGAACAGCTGCTGCTGTTGTGAAAAGACCCCTGGGACCCCACAGAATGGTTCTGACCACTTTACCCTCCCCAGCTGTGATCTTAGCTAGACGCCTGGCACCTTGGAGCCACAGTGCAGGAGCTGAGAAAAATCTCAGTGCAGGTGTTCCCCACAGCCCCAACACTGCCCTTGCTTTGGGAGTTGAAGTCAGAGATGCCAAAGGACCCAGAGCTCCCAGCTACTAAGCCAGGCTTGGTGCCATGTGATGCACTCTGAGGCACTGCCAGTCCAGGCTCTCTTGCTCCCCTTGGACCTCCAGGCAGCCAGTGGAGCCTGGCCCTGGCTCGCCCTGTTACAAGAGCTCTTGGGACAGGGACAGTAGGAACAGCTCAGTCTCTGGGGAGTGGCCCTTCTCATGGTCCTCCCTGCTTCTCTGCTCCTACCCCTGTCTTGAGACCAGAGGTTTCCCAAAAGGGTCTGGGAACTTTGCACCTGATGTATGGACAGGGAGACTGAGGCTCTGGGACGGAGGATAAGGTTGCTGGAGTCAAGGGCAGCCCTGGGCTTGCCCTCTTTCTTGGCCACATTCTGCATCCTAGCCTCTGCACTTGTCCCACAGCCAGGTGCTTGTTTCCTGCGGTGGGGCACAGTCCTCAGAACCAGGACAGTGGGCTGCTGCTAAGTAGGCTGCTAAAGATGCCCTTTGAGCTGGAGCCAAGGTCCAGGGCCCAGGGCAATGGGGGCCTAGGGCAGAAGGGTCCCGAGAGCCCACAGACTCACAACCCATGTTTGCAACACCCTGTGTACTCTGCTCTGCAGGTGCAGCTAGGGTGGAAAAGAGGAGGGGACAAAGAAAGAGCTATCAGAGCATGGCACCTCCTGCCAAGGGACAGCTATGGACTCCACCGCACCCCACAGAGAGTGAGAGGAAAGGAAAGCTTGTGCAAGCTGAGACCAGCAGGAACCGCAACCGGCGCATGCTCATTTCTGTCATGGTTGTGGGTGTCTGTGGTCTCCTAAAGGACACTCTGGGCTGCAGGGCACTGCAGGGTAGAGGTTAGTCTGGCATGGCCATGGACCAGTGTGCTGAGTGGACACACAGGCACCAGTGCTGAGGAATATGTGTGTCTACACAAAGGTCCTACAGGTCTGAGAGACCAACAGAGAGAACACGGGTGCACCTTGGCCTGAGGTGGGTGTGGTGGAAAGGGACTTTCGTGGGTTCTTCAGGGGGCCACACAAGCAGGACTTGGCATACATCTAGTGCCTTCTAGAATACCTTGAGTACTGAGACATCAGGCTTAGTGGGGCGCCAGCAAACAGCTCAGATGTGCTGGGGAGGACATGGGCTCCTTGCACTCCCGCACTGCGCAGGCTTCAGAGAGGCAAGTTAGGGCCTCACTGAGCTAGGACTGTAACCCTGCACAGGGGTGCCTCAGAGGTGCTGCAGTCTGCTGTTCCCCAGTGAAAGCAATACACCCACAGCTTGAGCAGCGTGGTCGTTTTCACGCCCTGGTGCGTCTAGAAGTTGCGTTTACATTGCACTGTAGCCTATTGGTTGTAACTGCGTGACCCTAAGTGCACACACACTAATTAAAAACACTTCCTTGCCAAAAGGTGCTAGCAAGCGTCTTCCCTTCAGGGAGTCCGTCTCTGTGCTGGGGGAGGCCTGGCTTTGCTGTTGGCTGCTGCAGGTGAGGGTGGTTGGGTGACTTCTTAAAATAAGACAGTAGTGAACTCTGCCACCTTAGCTGACCTTTCACAATTCCTCCGTGTCATGCAACGCTGTTTGACAGCGTTTTACCCACAGCAGACCCTCCTTCAAAACCAGAGTCAGCACCTGTGAAGCCTGCTGCCTCCTTGTCACAGCTTGGGCAGCATTCACAGTCCTCCGAGTGCTCTCTCGGCAGTGCTCCCCGGCTTCTTTGGGAGTAGATTCCCTCCGAGTACCCTCCTGTACTCCTGCAGCAGAAGCAGCTTCGGGGTCCTCGGCGGTCCAGTCACCTTCCCAGGCTGCTTCAAGTCCTAGGCTCCCAGGTTCCCAGCATGCCTGCAGTTGCTCCCCCTCAAGCCCCAGGCCACCTCTGCTGATCTCTGCTCCTGACTCGTAAGTGTTAATGGTGTCTGGAATGGTTACGTCCTGCCTGGGTTTTCCTTCTACTTGATGAAGATCTGTCAGGGCAGTCGCTACCTGTGGTAGCTACAACTTTACACATTGCACCTCCTTCCCATATCCAGCATGCTGTGCGGGCCCCGCCCCGGGGCACCCTGAGACCGTGCTGACTGAGCCTGGGCGTGGTAGCACACACCTGCAATCCCAGCGCTGGGGAGGCTGAAAACAGGAGAATCACTACGAGTCCGATCTGCGTAGTGAGACCCTGTACTAAATACAAAAAGAAAAGAGAAAGACAGCTCAGTAGAATAAGCACTTGCCTGGCAAGCACAAGGGCCTGAGTTCGATCCCTGGTTCCGCAAAACCAAACCAAACGAAAACAAAAAACCTGAATTGTATTTCTTAAATAATTGGCTGTAGGGGTCAAAGCTCTCTCTTTTTTTTTTTCTGTATTTTAGGGAAAGTTCTACAGGGTGTTCAGGGTCTCACTCCTAGATTAGACCCATAGTGATCCGCCTGTTTACAGCCTCCCAAGTGCTGGGATTACAGACATGTGCCACCACACCCAGTCTTAATCACAGTCTCAGCACACCCTGGGGGTGGGGCCAGCACAGCAGGCCGGGAGATCAAAGCCCTGGCCCCTGCACTTGCTTGCGGGGGCTTTAATCTGCTGAACTATTTGGCTGGAATTCTATGTCTTTTTTTATTTTTTTAATTTTTTTTAAGACAGGGTCTCACTTTGTAGTGCAGGCTGGCCTTGAACTTGCATCAATCCTCCTGCCGCAGCCTCCTGAGTGCTGGGATTATAGCCAAGAAACTAAAAGAGAAATGAGTTCAAATGGTTGCTCCATGATGGTTTTGGGTGGGTGGTTTTTACTTAGGCCCTTAGTATTGGAACTGACAGATATAGGGGAGGGATAGTGATTCAAAACTATCATGTTTCTGTGTGTGCCCCACTTTCCCTGCTGGGGCAATCAGTGTCTCAGTACTTTTTATTCTTTAATTGGATTTTTAATCTCACTTTCCTCTTTATTTTACTTTTCTCTTTCCTTCCCTCTTTTCTTCCAGGGATGGAACCCAGGGATTTGCACCAAGCTATATCTCAGCCTTTAATTTTTTTTTTTTAATTTTGAGACAAGGTATAATCACCAAGTTGTCCAAGATAAACTTGCAACCATGATCCTCCTGCCTCAGCCTCCCAGAGGGCTGAGATTAAGGGCATGTGTTACCATGCCTGGCTTCCTTCCTTCTTTATTACATTTCACTTCATCTCTTTTCTCACCCTCTCTTTTCATTATTATTACAAAAACTCCTGCTGCTTTTCAGTTTCAGTGATGATGATGAGGGTGACAATGATGATGTGAGACAGAGCCCAAGTGTAGTCCAGGCTGGCTGTGAGCTCACATAACCCTGCCGCTTCAGCCTCTGGGTGCTGAGTTGACAGGCCTGTGCCACCACAGCTTAGTTTATTATTATTGCTCATTTATTTTTTATTGTTAATGGTACTGTACTTTCTGCTTTTAATTGGCTTTTACTGTATATCATTATTTTGTTTGACCTTGTGCTCCCAACAGTACTGTGATTTGTTATCTCCTCTTTGATTTTTGATGGGATTGAACCCTCAGAGGAAGGCTGGTCACTAAGAAGATCCTCACATGAAAGTGGAAGATACAGCCATCGATACAAAGTCACGAGTCTCAACATAGAAACACATAAAGTATGAATAAACAAAGCAACATGACTCCTCCAAATTCCCATAATTCACCAGCAATCCAGTGGAAATACACTGAAGTAGATGAAATGCCAAAGAATTCAAAAGACTGATTTTTAAAATGAGTAATGACTTCAAAGAGGATACAAACACACAGCTGAATGACCTAAGGGAGACAATGCAGGACATGCAGAAGAGAGAGAGAAATAGTCTTAAGAAAAGCCAAATAGAAATGAAGAGCATAATAAGTGAGATGAAAAAGACCA